AGTCAACATGCGGAGATTGTCGAAGGTGAGAGAGCGCCTACTGTCCGACAGCACATTCTTGTACTTGGAGAAACTCCTTTCCACATCTGCAGACACAATGGGAGTGTACTTGAAGTCTACCAAATCACTAGCATTAAGTCTTCTTCAATACTGAAAGCGCTGAAGGACTCTCCTGTCAGAATTCGAGAAATGCTGCATGTTGTTTCATAACCTGAGGTTTTATCTAGAACATTTTTCATTTTTCTTGACACCGTTTTACCAATGTCCCCTGACACTTTCTTCAAATCACTGGCTTTTTTTTTTCACCAGAGCGAGCGAATCTTCTAGCGCTGCTCCTTTCTCCTTTAAGCATTTGATTCCTTCCATCAAGGAACAGAAATTTGCCTTTATGAAGGCCATCTGTCCTTCCATTTCGCTGTATGAGAACTGCTCCTGAGAAGCTCTAATTTCCCCCGTATCTTCTGTCTTCATTGAATCTACAATGTTTTTTTACTACCTGAAAATGATAGCAATAGTAAATTGTAGCACCAATCCACGTTCCCCACCTTGTGATGACAGGTTCCGAGGGCAGTAGAACACCAGGAGCCACAGATTTAAATTGTATTTTACGAGCTTGAGCCTTGACGTAAATCTTCTTCGTCCACGACACGAGAGCATCCACTTGAGTGAATGTTGATCTCACTTCCTCCGTCATTCTATGCAGTGCATGAGCTAGGCAAGTAACGTGCACCAATTTCGTATAAAACGACTTTATTGACTTGCTGCTTTTAAAATATATGGGGTCGCATCGGTCACAAAAAGCAAGACGACGTCGTGTCGTATACCCTCTGGCCACGGTAGAAACATCGACCTGTCAAAGAGTTTACAAATTGTGGAATGATTAACGGATTCTAGCACCTCACTCGTAGAACGACCACAATTCACTTCCAGAAAAATTTTCAGTTTTTCATTGTTCAGAGCCCAAAGCGGAATATTTGCGGACACCAGAGCATCACACAGATCTGTGAAAAAATCCGATGACTTATTTCCGCCTTCAGATGAACAGTTGCAGTAACATTTGCACATATTTCTTTTTGTTCGAAATCTGCACTGGTCGTATATGCTTGTTGCGGCCGATATGTTGCTGTATTGTGAAACATTTTTTCTGCCGCTAATTTTTTGTCATACATCTTACAGTATAAAATGTTACCGTCACTTGAAAATATATCAGCTACAATCTGCTTTAAATGACACGATTTATGACAATATGTCATAAAAAGCGAGGGATTCAGACTAGAAATATTTGTAACTAAGCAAATTCCTTTGCACAGAACCTGGAAAGGGCCGCAGTGTGAGTGATTGCTGTCGTACCCTGCTGCCAGCTTAAAATGTCGTATGATATGTAATGTCAGCACTTTCCGCAAAACGAACGGAAAGGACAGAACACTATTAGAACTTATTATTGCACACTGTGGTTGCAGGTATTTGGGGTGCAGCTGCAGGCTGCCTTTGTAGAGGCATGAGAAAGAGCACTTTACTTGCATATTATTCACATCTCTAAAAACATATGAAGAAAAATGAATAAAATGACAAAAAAAAACACCCTCAAATTCCAAATATTTACCAAAAATTACCCCCAAACCGAAAAAAAAAATGACCTAAAAAGTTGCATTTCTGTAACCAGCAGCTCATCTCCGGTATTTATATATTTACGGGCACCGAATAGGATAAAAGGAAAAAAAAAAGATGACATGTCATCAAAATCCGGGACCTGCTGATCACACAGTAGCTGCGCGGTCTAACACATGAACTGTCTTCATCTGCTCCAATCCCACCCGAGGCATGGCTGTTTGCGTTTCATCTGTGTTTGTGTTTTCGTGTATTGGTGGCGACTTCGCGGCGGGCTTCCGAGGAGTCCTACTGCCTGTCTGTATGATTAAGAAACTGTAAAACAGAGGCCACAGTTCATCATGGTGTGTAGCGCCCACAGATTATTTTATTATCGATATTCGGTGCAGAGTATAGATTTTAAGCTCCTTGTTACGCCATCTGCTGCCTCATCATGTTACTTCCTGTCTCTTTGTTCCAAACGTTCTCCTCAGCACTTTGATGTCAAACACCATCACTGTATTTCTGAATCTTGTCAGTCGTATAGCCCGAGCTGAACACGTTTCCAAAACCGGATCTGCTTCCATCCTCATAAAAAGGTGGGATGCACCTAAAAGTACTCAGTTCGATCCTTTAGGAAGAGATAATCTGAACCATCTGACGACCTGGGCCTGTCAGCTAAATCCATACAAGTACTTCGGGCCGCCGCGGTGGGTAAGCCAGCGACTAACCGCTTGCGCTATGGCGCGGCCTAATAGAAGTACTTAGAACAGCTCTTTCGAAAGGACCCTACTGTGTAGTTACTCTTTACCTCTTCACTCGAGTATGGAAAACTTCCAGTTTCCGAAACGCTGTGCTGTGCCCGGAATATTAGACGATGGTGAAATCCAAAAACCTAGTAATCCTAAGCGCAATGTAACACTGTTACAACACCTTACATTTGACCCTCAGTGTATCTTGTCTTCGGCAAAAAAGACCACGTTCCACGCCTGAATAACAGAAGCTAAAATTAGAGCTTTGCCGTATAATTTAATCTTTGGGCACCGGTTAAGAGACGGGCAGGAGAAACGAAACGGGGACGTATCGTGTGTACCATGAAGCCAAATGGCTGCACACCGGCAAAAGTTAAAATGTAACACGAGACAAATGTACGTTCAGTTTATGCACATCCTGCATTATAATAAAAATACAAGATACATGGCCTACTCACAGACTTTTTCTCACAAGAAAGTATGTTTATGAACATGCTTTTTTTTTTTGTGGCGCTACAGCCCCAATTTGGGCCTAGGCACACCTCCATGAAACTCTCCGTTTCACTTCGGTAGGACTCCTTGGGCGAGTGATCAGCTCGTCGCAAGGCCTCTACCTGTAGACAAACAGAAAAACGCACACAAACATCCATGCCCTGAGTGGGATTCTTCCCAGCGAGCGAAGACAGTGCATGCCTTAGAGCGCACGGCTACCGTGACCGGCTTATGAACAGGCTTACTGAAATATATTTATTGGTGGTTACTTACTGGTAATCCTCTTCATCTTTCTTCTTTGGTTGGTAGTTCTTTACAAGTTTCCTGTGAAAGCAAACAGAAAAAATTATTTTTCTTTGCAAATATCCTATATTCACAATGACAATACAGAGAACTGCATGATGCATATGGTAAGAATTTGTCGAAGTTTGCAGTGTCTGATAGTGTCACTACAACAAATTACAAGAGGTTCTTGTAAAACGTTGTTACGAGGGTTGTTAGTTAAGAAAAACAAAGAATTTCTATCGAATGGGCACACCGCCAAAGGCAGAAAAACACTAAGTGACTGGACGCGTGGGTATTGCAAAAGCAACAGCTTCCAGATCTGTGCTGCTTCAACTTGCGTTTAGGAGGCTTGTACCTGTATGATTTCTCCACTTCAGCTGTCTTTACGCATCATTTAAACTGTATGGAAGCCACACCACTGTCTTTGCAGCATTGCAGTTTCTATGAACCTACTTGTCATGCCACAGCACAAACATGGCAAATTCAGACTGCACCCAGACAATCAACGATAAGCCAGCCGGGACACTTCAAACATCAAGAAACTAATGTCGAAACAACATACTGACATAACAACCAAAGAATGACTACTACACGCAAGAATCCACATTCGCCAAGAAGAACTAGAATACACGATCAGTATACCCGAGGAATATATATATAATATATACCATCTTAAATTTGATTTTAGTAATTTAAAATAATATTTTTAATCAATTAATTCTAATCTTAACTTTGAGGATATTGTAAGAAGTTCAATATCAAAACAAAGGACAACCCTACAATATTGATCCATATTGGGTATCAGTTCAGCACTTACGATAATCATTACCTGATGATGACCCATTAGGGGTCGAAACATGTTGCACCTCAGATATACGATTTTCATGTAAATAGGTCAACTATATAAATTGTTGTGTTGAATGAAAGGAATAAATATTTTTACGTACACGACGCAACATAATACAAAACTTAAAATATGGTAATAATTGGAACATCTGAAGGAAGCTGAGATTTTAGACCAACTCTATACAGTAGAGGGCACCTTTTTATGTACTTCAGTTAGCTATGCTACTTGTGTGACGTCTTATATACCGAACGGGGACTACATCAAATATAAATACACAATCCAATTTCATAACTTAAAAACATAAAACAGGATCGCGTGTACGCCTTCGACTTTGTGGAATAAGCCGCGCAGAATCTTTAACGTTTTCCAACGTCTCGTCAAACACTACCGCTGCCATCTTCAGTGTTAAGGAATTTGGAGGAGGGGCTGGAAGCTCTTATATAGATCTCCTAGTGGGCTGTGAGTCTGAGATTAAGCCGTCATTAAATGAAACACAAAAGCTGGGTGCTATACAACAGAAAGTGATCACGTGGTTACTGAAAAGGGGCAACCAGATCTGCCTGAAAAGGGGACGAAACTTTTTTCAGCGACTCCGTGTTTAGGATAATAGATGGCGAAGATGTTTTAGCAACAACGTGTTAGGACGTGTTTCCAAGCAACGCAACCGTAAATATGCATCCATAACAATGGGAGACGGTGCTTTCAGTTGGGTCCGTGTAAAGGAGTTATCTTAAAAACGAACGGCGCTACGATCTCAGTAGAAGACAGCCACGGAAGGTTCGTCGTAGAAGAAGAGTAAGAAGTCGACCTGGGAAGAAGGCCCTAACAAATCTAACCATCCGAACTAGAACACGTCACTTCCGTCGCGCGTACCACCCTACACGTGACAATACGAACATAACTGGTACACTGTTCCGGAAGCAATGAAGAATCGGGGACTTCTTCCAAATACAGAAACAGGTTCATAACGCTACAGGTTATTATGTACTTATTGTTTATTGTTCTTATCTATGTCGGCATACTGACGAAGTCGCCAACCCTACGTTAACATACAGTACTTGCCCACCCCTACCCCCCTGCACGCGTTGGACTGCCAAATGGATTGGCAAATTTTGCTGTGCCGAGAACCTAAAGAATTGTGGGACGCTATTTTAGAGGAACAGCCAGAGACCCAAAATACGTGGGTGAGTGTGAAGGGGTTACCCCACCGACAAAGTGTATCAGTGGTCGTTTTCTCTTGCGTTTGGGCTATTAAAAGTGCCTGTCCTACCAGTTTTGACAGTCTCTGTGGTCTAATGGTCAGAGTTCCTGGCTACAGATCCAGAGGGCTAGGGTTCGATTCTCGGCTCTATCAGATTTTCTGAGAAGTATTGGGCCTGGCACTGGGTCCACTCAGCCTCGTCAGGATAACTGAGAAGCTATTTCAAGGAAATAGCGGCTCCGGCCTAGAAAAATGAGATAAACGGCCATGGGGATCCGTTGCGCTGGGCGACACTCTTTATCCGCAAAAGTTGGCACTAACTTCACCGACAAGCGGCGGTCGCTCGGTCGGAATAGTTCGCTTGCGGACTACAGGCCACGGAGTGTTTTGTTTTGTTTCTTTTGTCCTACTAGTTTCTACACGATGTGGGAACCTAGTTCTGCTATATAAATTTGCACTCCTTTCTATTACATCTGCAAACAATCTCTGCATATTATACGAAGTAGTTCGGAAATAAGTAACTTTATCAGAAAAGTGGAGTAAACAGGGCGTCTTTCGAATACGAATCTGTGCTGTGTCGGCCCGGCAGGTTTCAGTAATCCTGTAGAAATGGTCAGTGAATCAATGAGCATTTAGTGTTCAAGCTTTCCTTTCGAACAGAATCTGTAGTGCAGAATTTTTAGCTACATCTGACGTGCAAAGCCATGGAACAATTCCAGAGAGGGATACAAATTTAAGAAGTGTGAATGGTTTTTGTGTTCGTGTTAGTAGTACAGCTTGAAGATCTGTCAGTAATGCATGTTCACTTCGCGCACCAGAGAACATCATGTGACTGAGGAATCCAAAGGAATAAAATCAACCCTGACCAGCAATGCCACATTCGTTAAACTCCAAATCAACCAATTTTACATAACAATAAAAGTTACCACTCTTATAAAACTAAGATTACTCAAAATCTAAAGGATCAGGACAATGCGGTGGGTCTCAATTTCTGTTTCGAGGGACTTCTAATTACAATATGAATGTGTTATGTTTGTTCATTATGCCTTATGAGGCCCGTTTTCACCTAAACGGATATCGCAAATCAATTTCCCGGATTCTGCTGAAGAAGAGCTGCACGAAAAGTAATTGGAACGCTGCCATGTCTCCGTACATCGAATGTCAGACTACAAATTGTTTCCACTTTTACACAACAGAACGGGTCCGAAAAACGTTCCAATTGCAAACGAACACTGATTCGCTAGCCAGCTCGCCACGATTACTGCACCTGCATACACTAATAATATGAATGGGCTCATTCACATAACAACTTCCCCTTCTACAGCAGAGCATTCTAAAACAGACCTCAATGGAGGACTCTACAGGAACAAATCCTATACGCCTTCATCCACAACTGACCTATTTTCCAACGCATCCTGAAGGCGACGTCACTCGTTTGGGGTACAGCCAAAACTGTGACAGTGTAGTCCATATTGTGACATGACGCCCGAAAGCCGGAACAGTGATATCAAATTAGACGTTCATTGCTAGGCAACTGCTCGGTAAACACATTCCCGCGGCAACAGTCGAATAACTTCCGTTGCTATACAACGGCGCTATAAACACGCCTTCCCAATAATTTATGCCGTGTTTTCTGCGTGGTTCGTGCCGAGAGTTTATGAAAAGGACTAAGAAGATCGTTTGAGTTACTTGAGTTTCGAGATGCCAGCCTGCCAGGATATGAGCATGAACAGAGGAATTAGGACTGAAGGAGTCGGTGGTCGAAGGCGATTGTGAAGAAATGGCAAGAAAGGAGTCAGACTGAGCAAAGACGACTTCATGTGCGCTGCAGAGTCAGTGAGACTGTTATAAATCCGTTGCCATGATACGACTAGTGAAGACTGAGAATCCTAGTGTGTGTCCAACGGTGAACTGTAAAGTGTGTAGATCAGCGATAGCGCCGTAGAGTGGAATGTATACGGTGTCAGTAAATCCAATTATCTAATCCTAAACCCGTCTATAAGTCAATCGCACCCCCTATAGGTGACACAATGATCCACCTGGAACCCAATAATTTTGAGGTGTGACAATTGTGGAGGCCAGAGCTCGATCCAACGTTGGTGAGATGCAGCAAAGCGCAAACAACAAAGCATTGTCTGGCCGCGCCATACCTCAAGCGGTTAGTCGCTGGCTTCCCAACGCGGCGGCCCGGGGTCTTGTCAAGTGGGATTTGTGGTGGACAAAGTGGCGCTGGGGCGGGGTTTCTCCGAGTACTTCGGTTTCCCCTGCCAATCTTCATTCCACCAAATTCTCCATCATCATAATCAACCGGGGCAGGCTACAATAGGCCAATCAGTGGCCGCCGTGCCGAGTGGACCCAGTCGGACTCCAACAGCCACTAAGGGAATTAAAAAAAAAAGCGTTTTGTCTAATCCATTCGTTCTTCCTGGATATATAAACATAACCCTGATCCTTAAGCCAATCAGAGAAAAAGTACTTACTTCATAATTATCTTGCATGCCATTAGGGTACGTTACCTCCCATAACAAACCTCCGCAGTTGTTGCGGTCGAAGTTTAAGCGGTGTTGTGATCACACGCCGTATCGGATGTCATGTACGTCATGTTATACGCGTTCACATGTTTAAGGGATTTTTAATTAAGATTTCTAGCTCGAGTCGTGATATGAGACTTGTATTTCTGGAGAACTACGGGACCTGCTTAAGTGAAACCAGGGGATGTGACATTGATGCAGCTTCTACTGCGTACAAAGATGTGTTTAATTAATCCGGTTGGAGATGTCTGTGAGGAGAGTAAGACTGTCTTTGTAGATGCCACATTGAAGATTAGCATAATACACTTTTTCTGTATTGCTAGTGGTGTGGGACTGAGTCCTTTGTACTGCGACCACTTCTGGCCTATTGTACCAGCCCCACATGATGGACAACTGATGATTGCTGAAAACACTAATTTGGAACTACACGCAAGGCTTCTCTTTTGTTTATTTACAGTGG